GACAGCAGAGCTCGGGGCAATAATGCAGATCTTGTCTCTGATTGTGAGTGTGTGCATTCGCGTGTGTGCTCAGAAACAGAGAGGAGGGAGAATGTGAATACACAAAGCAGTGGACACTGAAACATGCACATACATTGGATAAATAACATAGGCGTTTAGTTTATTNCAACGACAACAGCCTCACGAAACGCTATGTTGTAGCGTTAATAAACGAAACAATTTAACTAAATTGCTAGTCAAAATACCAATACCACAGGACCATTTTTTTTTTTTAAGCAATATTTTTAGTGGCCCGAGCGGGCAAGTAGAAAGTATGTTATGCTGGCCCGGGGTGTCTAAATAGTGCTATCGGGCCAGCGGGCCGTATATAATGTTGAGCCCTGCCAGCCTTACATTTTCCGCCACAGATTTGGGGAAATTGGTCCGTGCGCAAAGCATTGTGGGGATTTTAAGGACGCGAAGTCTACCCATGTGCAGCCTCGAAATTACCCCCAAACCGAGGACACGGCCTCGGTGGAATTCCAAGTATGCTGGCGATTGGAACAGTCCTTCGGCGGCACTCGATGACGTAGCATCCTTGAAATATTGGCTTGAAAGCCAGAAACAGCCTGTGTGTGTGTCCTTCTCCTCCGTGACGATAACGGCTTGAGGTCAAAAAATAATAATAAACTAATTTGAAACTTGGGGGGGGACACACACACACAAACGGGCAGACAGCAGAGCTCGGGGCAATAATGCAGATTTGTTTGACTTTTTTACACTTTGTTGTTCTTCTCCTTTCCTCCGCTCTTGTCTCTGATTGTGAGTGTGTGCATTCGTGTGTGTATGTGTGTGTGGGGGGGGGGAGCGGAGCCCTGCCCTTCAGAAACAGAGCGGAGTGAGAATGTGGATACGCAAAGCAGTGGACACTGAGACATGCGCAGCGCCCCGCCAAGACAATGGTAGGGGAAACACTGATGCCTGTCAAAAAAATAAACTAGCTTCCCTTTCCTCAGTATATTTAAGTGTCTCTCACCTTGGTCTCGACCGGCAGGCCCAGGGCGCGGCGGTGAGCCTTGTAGTCGAACTTGTAGTAGGTGTGCATGATTCTGCGCAGGTAGATGCGGCAGATCTCCTCCGTGCTGCCCTTGTTCTCCATGTAGTTGAGCAGTCGGTCGATGATGCCACAGACGTGACCCTCGTCCTTCAGATTGTCCACATACTCTGGGGGAAGAGTGAGGAAGAGAGCAATGAGCTACGAGGAAAAGCTTTAATTCAATTTCAAAAAGTCTAGGAGTTACGTTCACAACTACGAGGATAGTGTTCGACTCAGGCAGAGCTCACCTTGTGAATGGGGATCAGTGTTCTGCATGATCTTGGTGAACTCTTCATCCATCCTCTCTACCAGCGTTAAGATGCACCCACGCACCCTGAATGGCTGACAAACACAACAAAGCAATCCATATTTATTTGTATTGCAATGCCACCCTTTCTGTAGTACCACACACAACCACAAGGATTATGCGTTGTTAAAATAACAACCTGCTACCTGGTCTGAGATGATCAGACTCTCGCTGTCCTCGGCGATGTTCTCTCCGATGAAGATGTCGTTGTGTTCAAACAGGATGTCCAGCAGCTCATCGATACATTCCAAGCACTTCTTCCACATATCAGGCTGAAGAGAAACACATAATGATGCAATTTGTAACAGTTGACCACATTTCGCTTCATTCAAACAAGATGTTTCTGTTGATTTATCTTAACATTTATTACACTTAATACTATAAAGGAAATGTCAATGGCCCTGTTGTATTAATATATAAACGGACATATTGATTCGTTCAAAACCTTTTAATTCATTATTTTAACTTTTTCAGCTAAATACTAAAACAACAATTTGTACATTAAGTTAAAAAGAAAAAAGTGCTTCTACCTTCATGAAAGCAGCCAGGTTGGGGTTGTAGTCGTACAGGGAGGCAATGATGTTGAACTTAATCTTGACCGTAATACCTTCGCCCAAATTATTCTCAGCAGCGATGTTTGCCAGAGCATGGAGCAGTTCGATCTGGGCAGCCCTGTCAGGAGGAGAGACGAAAGGGAGCGGAGATTAAGTAAGAGGAATAGGTAGAATTACAAAATGTGTGTTTTTATATGTATTTTCTGCAGTGATTTTAAGTGCCTATTCATTTCTTGCAATTCACTATACTTGCATTCAAATACATTACAGATATTAAGGGGTTAATACGAGGTTCCCACTTGTCAGTTGCTTTGCTATAAAATATATCAATGTGCAACTTGTTCATTTGAAATGATTGTACATGCATGAATGTAATATGCACTGACCTGTCCGTGCCCTTTTTGCCTCTTGCTTGCAGGATCTCATTCAGCTTCTTCACCACCACAGGAACGTTGATCTCCGTGCCTTTGGCAAACATCTTGGGCTTTTCCTGGCAGATTGAAAAAAAACACACAACATAAATATTGAAACAATGCATTTATGAAAGCAGTAAATCTGAAAAGAACTCTTCTTTACCATGACCATGCCTCCCTTCACTTCCTGCCAGGCTTCTCCTCCCTCCTCCTCAGCCTCCTCCTCTATGCGCTCCTTCTTCTTGATCTTCTTCTTCTTGCCGAGCTTCTTGTCGCCGGGCTTATCTTCCCTGAGGACAGAAAGAGATGTGGTGGTGAGTAGGGATGCTCCCATCGGGTATTTTGGGGCCGATCGCTTGTTTTGCCGCGCACGGAGAAAAGTGTCATGTATTTTACGTCATGTGATCGGCTCTCCCGATCGGCCTTTATAGAGAGCACTGATCGATCGGCGGCCGATCGGAGCATCCCTAGTGGTGAGTTAACATGAGGCGCTTTCTCACCAAGTACTTTGCTGTACTTAGATAATCAGAACTAAGTTCTGATCTCGTTCACACCGGAATAAGTCCCTGAGGGAGGATTAGGCAAATGAAGCCGCTGATGTCACTTCTTCTGCTTTGGGTTTACTGGCAGGCCGCAAACAACTTCACGGCGTATACTGCCACCGAAGTCCCCGGAGTTGGGGACTGGCTTCAGTAGAAGCTGAAGCCTTCCGAGTAAATCACCAGAACCTCCTCATCACTCCACCGCTCCCATGTTTTATTTTGTGTTGCCATAAGTTAGTCTCTCTCCGTCGGTGCGCTGGGCTAATGCTAATAATGCGACTAAGTAAAATGGCGGCTTCACAAAATGTTCAGAGTTTACGGGGCGTGGTGTGCAATCCGCCCAGCCAATCAGAAATGGGAACCGTTTCTCCCATGAAAGTACCTGCTCTCTAGCAGGGACTGAAAAGGGGTTGAAAAGGTTCTCATGAACTAAGTTCTAGTTCCGGATTTTTTTGGTGTGAACGCACATTTTCGGAACTATACTGGGAAAAGTACTCCGGTGTGAAAGCGCCTATGGTATCTTGAGAGGGAAAGCAGTGGCATGCGTGTCCAGTTTGGGTTATATTTTCTAAACCAAAAGCTAGGTAGACTCACTTCTTGAGGAAGACTGCAGCGATGGAAGCATGCTTTCCCTCCCCATCATCCGAGCTCTCACTGCCACTGTCGACAGTGTCTGATCCCCAGTCTTCCCCATCTTCGTCATCACTGCTAGACGAGGACTCATCCTGTTGAGGCAGAAACACAGCATATTAACATTAGAACTATGTGTTTTCCACCAAGTTGATCTTTCTCTTTTTTCTACATTCTCATGATGGCCTCTTACCCCGGATCCCTTCTTGAGGAACGCGCTGGCATCTTGGATCACCTCAGGTTTTTTCTTTAAGAAGTCTTTGGCAGACATCACCTCTTCCTCGCCCTCTTCCTCGCTATCAGAAGATGAGCCTTCTAGAAAATGTACGAGGTTTTTGAGAGATGATGCTTGCAGAGGTAATACAAATAAATGCAGTTTGCCCTGACAACTTTAGTCAACTTGTGATTTGTATATATTTAATTTGCTTAAACAGCAAGCTTACCAGAATCTGCTGCCTCCTTCTCCTCCTCTTCATCAGCGGACTCCTGTGGGTTCTAATAGGGAGAAAGAAGACATTGAGATATTGTTTTTGAACTTTGCTTATCCAGGCTGCACAGTGACACACATGGAAGCTGCTGGGCAGAGCTGCAGTCTGACATGGAACCTATAGAATTGTCCTTCAGAAAAGCCAACGTTCCTCTCTTACTATAAGAGCAAAGCAACATTTATGATTTTTTTTTTAAGCACGACTTAGAATAAGTTTCTTAATTTACCTCCTTGTATGCAGCTACTTCTGTTTCGTAGTCTCTGTTGTACTTGCGGATCTTCTGACGCAGCGTACTGAGGGCCTTTGCGTTGTTTTTGTTCATCTTCTTCTTGCCCTCTTTGTCCTCCCAAAGCTGGAAAAAAAACAACATTTATTATATCGGACAGGTAGATCGATCATGTCAACTCGGTTAATATATTTTGTTTGCTGCAGGCATATCAAAACAAGTTGTTAAATGACATAGTTGGTATTTGTAGACTTGTGATGGGAGCTACTGACCTGATTCACATAGTCCTCCAGGTCGGCCAGAAGACGGATATAAAAAGGGGGAACCCCCTCTTTGTCCACTATAGTCTTGCTTTTGAGAAAGGCTCGACATAACTGCTCAAAATCCTCCAGACATTTGGACATGTCACGAATCTTCATAGCATTTCGGATCGTTTTGATGAGGTTGGTCAACTCCTCAAACCTAATATATAATAATTGTTTTATTTAGAATAATAGTCGATAAGGAAATCTGCAGTTTATTACATAGGACACTTAAAAGAGTGACCACACAAACCTTTTGTCTTTGGCGCTGCGCACAATTCTCTTGGTGTCCTCCTCATCATCACTGATAAGCAAGGACCTGTGAAAATAATAACGCTGTGTGAGATTACTAGAAAAAGTTGCATTAGGGTCCTGATGATAGGATTTATAGTAAGCAATACTGACTGCTTGAAATTTCCTCCGGGTGCTTTAGAGATGATTTCATCAGCAGATGAAGACTCCTCTGACTCACTGTCAGACCCGGTGGCAAAGAAACGGGACATGGCTGAAGGGAGATGTCAATCTGTGAGGAGAAAAATACATCATGTCAGGGACAGTATAAAAGACAATACAGATTTGCTACACAATATGTTGTAGTAAAATAGTTTAGTATTCCTAGCATTACAGCATTACATTCCTTCTAATAATTGAATCAATTGGTGTCACTCAATTTGAAGGAGATTCCAGGTGAAGGCAGGTCCAAATATGTTTTCATTTAAAAAAGATACTCTTGCATCACAGAGAAAATAATGTTGCTCAGCAGGTAAACAAAAAGGTGAATAAGAATTTGTGTAACACATATCTATTCAGTTTGTTGTTGGTGTGACATTGAATAACAATGTGAATGGAGTTTTGTCAAGCTATTATTCGACATTAAGAAGCTAACGAGCTAGCTGTAGTTGCTTCGATGTGAGACGAGAGTTCACTTAAAGTCGGCGTAATCATTGTTGTAAAGATTAATCAAGAGATAGTTGTTGGACTATCAGTTTCTCGAGTTAATGCCGTTTTCAATAATTCACTCAACGGTCAGTGTACAGACATTAAACAAGTATAAATGAAGATATGTATACATGTTCATTCAACTGACTAACGTTTTACCTTGTTGTGATATGATATATTGTTTCTAAGTTACTTGTAAATGTTGTAATGTTATTATGCTTGTGTGAACTCATATACACTAGCTTGTATTTCGATCTTACTTTGTTGCTGCTTAATCAGCTTCATTTCCCTATGGGGATCATTTTAAAGCCATCTTATCTCATAACGTCAGATACCGGCATCTATAACGTGCTATGTAACGACAACCTTTGCTAAGCTACCTAGCTTTGACAGCTGTGTTGCATTAGCCTATCAAACTAAACAACAAACGTAAAAATTGCACCTACATGCCTTACACATAGTTATTTTACAACTAATGGAATATAAATAGATACCATAGCAAAGTAATTATAAAGCTAACGTTGATTTATATATACTAAAACAACGTGAACACTAACGTGGCGCGGGGTTAATGCTAAGCTAATGCTGCAGAGCACAGGGCCTACCCACATGTTTAGCTGTTAAAAACACTAACACGAACAATAATCCACCAAAGTGTAGTCAAATGTTGAGACCGACTCACCTACGTCCTTGTGAAAGTTATCCTGTGTTGTGTCTGTCTCTTTTGGGTGGTTATAAAATCCAGTTTGGCTGTAAAGTGGCTACAAATTAAATGCGTGCAACAGCCTTGCCGGGCATTTGCGTCAGGAAAGGAAGTGAGGTTTAGAGCTACAAGGTAAAGGGATTTTCGCCGGCAGATATACAGAGAGACAGACCCCGGGTTATGGTGCCACCAAGCGGGCAAAATGATAAGTTCACCACACCTTTTATTTTGTATTAAAATTGCACTTTATTAAAAAAAAAACAAAAAAAAACACAAGTGGTCATTCATTAATAAACAATTGTTATATTATGTTCTGTATATTCTTCTTCTTCTTTACTTTTCTTCAGCAGCTTTGGAAAGAAGGACATTGGCATTAAAGACGTTTGGGACACAATACACACTGCACAGTTTCACCCAAGCTTTTGAGTTAAATTTGCCTACAACTCGAAGAAAAACGTTGGAAATGAGAGCAATTAACTACTCCAATACAAAAGCCAATACTTAGGCAACTATTTTATAATTGGTATAAAAAAACGTCACCTAAACTATTGTGATAATCACTGATATTTTCTCAATTCCAGAACATTGCAGCATGTCTTTTTTTGTTTTTTTTAAAAATGCATTTGCAATAAACTGTATTTACCTAAAACCACATAGTGAAGTCTTACCTTCTTTTAGTCTCCTTATTACTTCTGACTGCATTTTAATTTGCTGTTCAAGCAAGGCACAGTTGGCGCAGCCTGTAATATAAATGAAATCCTTACATTAAGCAGGATGAGGACAGTGTCAAATTATTTATCTTCTTTATATTTTTCTGTAAACCAGACTTGGATAGGTGATGGTGACTTCCGTGTAACACTTCTGCTTCCTTGATAGATATCTTCTGCTTCCTTGATAGATATCATCTTGTCATAAACACATACAGGTGCATCTCAATAAGTTAGAATATCGTGGAAAAGTTAGTTAATATTTCAGTAATTCAATCAAAAAAGTGAAACTCATATATTAAATAGATTCATTACACACAAAGTGAACTATTTCCACCGTATATTTGTCTTAATCTTGATGATTACGGCTTACAACTAATGAAAACCCAAAATGCAGTATATCAGAAAACAAGAATATTACATAGGACCAATACAAAAACTGATTTTTAAAATGTTCCACGATATTCTAATTTATTGAGCTACATCTGTATATATTTTTTTCATTCCTTAATGGACAAGCATAACTTCAGCATCAGAATGAGAGAACATGGAGCTAATAGTTCAACCTTTTACCAATTATAGCCAAAAGCTCAAGGCTGCAGCTGGAAGAAGGCTGTATTTTCCCAATCAGCATGTTTACCATTGAATTAAAATATAAGAAAGATTTAATGGAATTTTAGGCTAGTGACAGAAAGTAGATTCCCTTCCGAAGCTTTAACTGAAATTTCGACCTGATAAAAAAGTCTGACACAGGAATAGAAGTTCATTTCAAACAATCTAAAGATGGGCATAAGAATAAGATCTTTATGTCCATTTTTCGCACCTGAGCACCCACAACTTACCATGGTCTTTAGGTTTAGCAAACAGCGTTTTATGGCTGGTCGCAGGCAGTTTCAGGGCTTTGGCTCTGCTAACAGCAGCACAGGATGGTGGGATTTCAGCAGCAGTACTGGCTGGCACTGGAGCTTCGGAAAGAATGTGATAGAAAAAAGGTAAGTAACTCCCAAATAGTCCAGGTTATTAAACACACTAGACCGTGAAACCCTTCAGCAGCAAATCACATAAGAGTACGACGAAATACCTCCACATATCAGAACAGTATGGTACAGTGCCAACCTACCTTCCCTTTGGATTTTGGCTGGCAAAGCTCTCTTAGTGGTTGTGGGCCGTTTGAGGTTTTTGATTCCGTTTGCAGTATCACAGGAAGATTTTGAGGTTTCAGTATTACCACTTGAGAAGGAAGTATCTGAAATTAAAAGATCAAAGTAAGTGAGTCTTTAGTAAGGTGAAAAAAGTCCAGATTTTGAACCCCATCACACATTTTTCAACTAATAGTTTTGATTATAGGTGTTGTCAGTTCGCTTCTTAGCACATATTAACCATCTAGTCTGAATCAATACAGCATTCCTCTGCCGAGTTTTTACCCATTTTCTTCCTCTTTGCTAGTGGCAAAGGTTCACCTCTGGTTAATGGCTGCTTCTTTCCTTGTGAAGTCTTCGTCCCAGGAGAAGAAGCTGTTTGTGTAGAAAGAGGGAGAAAAAAACAACAAATACAATAACATGTAACAATTAAAAATAATAGCCAAGTCGGACAAGAGAGTCAAATTGCGGATTCCGCATTACACACAGGCCCTCAATAACTGTAATGCAAATACAATTAACATAAAAACATATTGACTGTCAGACGGTTGGATGAGAGTACCTGCAGGTCCACGGAGTTTGTTTGTATTTGAAAATGATGTGTTGTTTCTCATGAATAATGGTCTGAGACCTGTCGCAGCTCTCTGAATGCCGGTCGGTATTCCGCTCAACTGCGGCCTCTGCAAGCCGGAATTGGGTTGCTTGGATCCTAACATCAACACAGAGAAAAGACAGTGTTTATAGTGAATAAGGTGCAGACAGAACATCTTCTATTGAAGGGCATTATACTGTTTGCAGCTTGAAGTTAGACTTGAAGTTAATAATGGGGGGTGCACAATGAAACAAAAGTATACTGCTTTGTCTACAAATACATGACGTTTTAACATTTAATGCCTTCCATCCCATACTATTAATAATTCACCCTCAACATTTATGAAGAACAAAATGCTATGTTCCAACCAGATTCTAAAAATAAAATAGACACCACCTACCTGTTGTTGCACGTAACTTGTATGAGCTTGATATTCCTGCAGTCTTAAGAACATAAAAAAGAAACAGACTGTTAGTCTTCCATGCAGTTATAGCTTTTGTTCAGTGTTGTTTATGAAAAAAGTGGATTTAACAGATGAATCTAACATGGTCAATTGAGTTCATTTGATTGCTTTTATCTGACCGAATGAGCAGTTAACATTTTGTAAACATAATGGAAAACAAAGAGCCATTCAAGTTCTACTACCTGTGGAGGATCTGCCGGAGCAGCAGGAGCAGCAGTAGCAGCAGCAGCAGCATTTCTCAGAGCCTCGGTTCTTTGTCTCGTCATGGTCTGTCCGTATGTCAGCGCCTCAAACCTTCTTGGAAGCGCGGAGGCTGTCTTGTTTTTGAACAACTGGGATGCAGCTTTCAAAGGAGGCAAAAGGGATTTAGCAGTTACAACCTTCATGAACGTTTTCCGGTCACAGACAAGGTTCGATGGTACCTCAGACGGCACTTGACCATCCGGTTTAATGGGACCATCCTCATGTAGTTTTTTCACTCCCCCTAAGATGTTGCCCCCTTCTTTTGTAGGCATTGGTGTTGAACTTATCAAAGATTCCACCTTCCAATCAAGGGTATCATTCAAGTCGAACGTGTTTGCATTTTTTGCCATATCCATGCTTTGATGGGCCAAACTGTCGGAAAAAACATCCATCACAGGCAGACCCGATTGTGAAAGGTCCTGAGTTCTACGTCGATCAGCTCCAAAATTCACCACAACAGCTGTATAGGCTTCCAACTTGCTCTCAGGGGTGGCAGCCATCTTGGCAATAGGGTCTGTATCTGTAGTCCTATTCTGTTCTACCAGTTTAGGACATTGTGCATTAGAAGTGTTTGCTTTAGGGCTACTGGTTGTATTAAGAGAGGGCTTGTCAAAAGTACCCTGGTGTCCGTCACGTGGGCCTGATTCTGACAAAGTCATTGTGCCATTCTGCTTAGGTCGAAGTTTAGCATCGAAAGTATTGTTTTCGAGGCAAAATGTTCCTGCACCAGATTCCACTAAAATAGTACCGGAACTTGATGTTTTAAGAGAATGTCGGGGAAAAGTGGCGTTCACCATGTTACCGGGACCACTGGCATTTACAGCGGAATAATTTTGATTCTGGGAACCTTCGATGGTGTTGTTAATGACTGAAGTAGCGTCTACTGTAACCTGACTCTTCGCTTTGCAGCTGTTTACATCAGACGGAGGGAGATCCAGAGTCTTGTTCTGAGGGCTGGTTATTTCGGCAGTGGCGTTTAGATCCGTAGAGGAACTCGATTGCGAGGGCTGGAGGGAGGTAAACGTGCCGTTAGCAGACGTGCTGTTAACAGACCCAGATGTTTTTGGGCTTGGTTGTGTCTCCTTGGTCGTCACTTCAGCATCATGGCCGGTAAGTGACTTGTCATTGGCTTCCACAGAATTACAGTCAAGCAAAGGTTCAACATGAAGCTCAGAGGTGACGTTCTTTAAACTAGTGTTGCATTTCCCATCAGAGGTAGAGAGCTGTGATGCAGCACACTGAGCAGACATGTCACTCGAGGAGCTCAAGTCATGTGTGACATTAGCATTACCAAATGTTTTTTCAGCTGATGTTTCAATCTTCACCATGTTTGGTCCAATGGGCTCCAATGAGGGCCTACTGTTTTCAAAAACACGGCTTGAAGAAATATCCTGCGTTACTTCCAGAAATGATTGCGTTCTGTTTCCCCTCACACTTTGATCAGATTTTTCACTAAAGGAGATTGTGGTGTGGGTGACATGTCCAGTAATAGTACTAGTACTTGACAATTCTTCTCTTGGAACCATATACGACCTGTCAGGCTCTGTCCCACGTTGTTCGCTGAACTCTGAGGGAGGCTGGTTGTTTTCCAGATTAGCCACTGGTGTTTCCTGTTTCACGTCCGTGGAGGATAAGTCATCAACTTGTGATAGCTCAGAATCCCGCGTAGCATCAAGAAGAGTAATATCTGGGAAGTATCTGCTATCCAGCCAGCCCAACGGAGCACGAATACTCTCTGAGAGGTCTTTCATCTTGTCATCAGAGTCGTTAGCTGTTGTCCAAATATGTCTGGACAGTACAGGAGAGTAGTCCTTGTTATTTTCTTTATCACTTTTACTGTCAATTGATCTAATTTCTGACAACTTTTTCATGCCATCCCATTTAAGTTTAGTATAGCAAGTATCATTTTCCACTTTGGAAATGTTTACATCAGATTGGCTAAGATCCATGCTCTTATTCAGAGGGCGGATTATTTCAGTCGTGGTGTTTGAATTTGGGGATGAAGTCAGTTGGGAAGGCTGGAGAGAAGTAATCCAGCTTTTCAAAGACCCAGCGGTCACAGGAGTAGCTGGCATGCTACCATGAAGAAATGAGTCACATGTATCATCAAGAAGCGTAACTTCTGGCAAGCATTCCTCTTCCAGCAATGCATCCAAGACGCGCACTGATTGTCTAGCAGACATTTTTTCAGGTGTCCTCTCAGCCTCTCTGTGCATGCAGCCTGTGAATGAAAACATTTAAAGGTCAGAATTCCTTTTAGATTTGACATCACAAGATCACAATGTAAGGTGTACATGGCCCCTTTCCCTAAATAGTATTGTCCTTGCCCCCCTTTCTTGGGTCTGTCTACTCTGCCTCTTGTATGTTTAATATGTGTTTCTGTCTGGTTTGAATGTTTTTTGAGAATATTTTATGAATTGAAAAGTGTCCTTGGGTGTTATGGAAGGTGCCTCCAAATGTATGTAATATTTGTATTTATTATTGTTTATGTGTTGGTGTTAACATAAGTTGAAAAAAACCACTTTTAATGTATAGACTTCCTAGTAAAAAGCAATTGCGTACATCAATATAGATGAAAACAAAAAACACTTTTCACTATTCAATAAAGCCAACTGACCACTGACCACCACTTTGTGATGTATTTTCACTTCCGTTTAGTTAGCCAGAAAACATTTCATTCGCTAGATATAATAACATTGCAATTTCGACCAGCAGAGAAGCGTCTCAGGCAGCGCAGTTTACATACACAACATGGCATTAAAAATAAACCATTGAAAAATGTTGTTTCGTACATTTTATGTCAAGAAGTTACAGTAGAGACGTTATGGATGAAGCACGAGAAGGTCCCGAACGAAGCGAAGCTAATATAAGCATAGTAACGACAGTTTGAGGGAAACGACTTTGACTTACCTAACTAAACAGCCACTGCTCAAGGGAGCGTTGTCTCTGGGAAGAGTCTCCAAACCTTTTTCCTTGTTTTATGAGTCTTTTAAATTAAACTGACGACAATTTTTTGAACAAACATCGGAATGTCATGAATTTACAACCACAAGCTGGAGCCCCACTCCGGTTTTTCAAATGTCAGAACACTTCGCACTCATTGGATGATTCTAACCAATCACAGCTGAAGGATTCTTCTTCGTGCGTTTAATGATGTCCATGTGATGCAGCAATACTGACATCTACTGTCTCAACAAAACTCGACTAAAAAACAGTGAGTATGTGCCCAAATCAATACAAATATCAGCCACACTTTAAGTTATTTAGCGTATCTTAGTCTATTTTACATGTATATTGTCTATTCTCCTGTAATACTTGCATATTGGTCACCTCACTTGCAACATTCTTTTGCCCTACTTTATTTATATTCTGTCTCTTTTTGCACAATTGTTATTGTTTTGTTGTATTAGGTCATACATATATTTATGTTGCATGGTTTAAGGAGACTGGGAATTGAGATATTCATTGCCATAACTACACTGTAGCTACTGCATATGAAAATAAAACCTTTACATCATTGAATTGAACCAACTCTGATGTAATGCACATATATAATATGACTTGAGGCTCTGAGCTAATTCAAAACTGTGTTTGGTTTCATGTTTTCCACCATCCACGACCACCCCCAGTGTTTCAACCATGGACTTCAGAAGTTTATTATTTTTCCTTTGCACCCCAGAGCTGTAGAAAAAAAATACTGTTTTTTCAGATAAGCTTTATTACAAAACATACAAAAAATAAGGCACATAATGAATGTGATGAACATTTCATCACTGTATTGAGTTTCATAAATACATACAAAATAAAGCAATTTGTATATTATATCCAAACATTCATATAAAGCATTACAATTCATCCACATGTCATTCTTTCGTGGTTTTTTTCAGTTTGGTCTTCAGCTCGGACATCAGTGGGTTTCCGAATCTGGGAACACACAAAATAAAGAAATCAGAAAATGTCTAACCACAGTGAGCCTCTTTTGTGAATATCATAACGTTAATAATCTGAGATTTATCTGAGTTTTTACCCCGGATGTCTTGGTGGCATCCATTTAGGTTTCTGTTGTGCCTCATCTTGTTTGGGAGTGTCACTCTTCTCCTCCTGCTCCTGTTGATATTGTGACATTTAAATACAGTAAATAACAATAATAATAATAATAATAATAATAAACACACACACACATTCCATATGGTCGTTTTCAAATAAACCTCAACATAAAAGAAAAGTGATATTGAAAGTTTACCTGAGAGACGGTGTCTGGGCTATTTTCATCCCTCTCCACCCGTTGTGTCTTTTTCAAAACAGGAAACCCTGCCCCAAACCCTAAAAAGAACAAAAAGATTGTGAAATTATTGACAGATTATACAAACAAAAATAACTACACATCAAAGACTCAAGGTAATGGCTTTTCCATGCGTCACTAGTGACCTACCAGGCAGTTTTATTCCCATGCCCATGCCCCCTAAAGGCACACCTGCAGGAAATTTGGCTGGCAGACGTGGAGACGGTGTGGGATCAACTGAGGGCATCTGCAGGAGGGAGCGGGGGTCTTTGGGCGGCCTTACGCGAGGATCTTTAACAGAAATTCTTGCCCTTTGCACAGTAAAGTCAAGCGCAGCGGAGTCCACCTGCAATGACAAACAGCTCATTTAACAGATCTTCGTATTTTAGGAATACTGCCTGATTTTACTCATGACTTAATAAGACATTTGTATGGTCATATATGTTATTTTCCAACAATACCTCCAACAGATCTTCATACTCTGCCATCAGCATTTTCCCCACCTCCACTTCATTTGGCTCAGGTAATGATTCAGCTTCAACCTCTGACCATCGAAGTGGTGGTTCAGTGTCGCCTTGTGAGCCAGATTCTGTCATCACTATGTCCTCCCCTGAAGAAGAAGCCTCTGAGCCACTTCGGGATCGTCCGGGTTCGATATGTTTAATTTCATCTGGAGAGACAGATCTCTGAAGAGGCTCATCTTCACTTTCTGGTTTCTCCTCTTTGAATAGAGGGTCTGCCTCTTTTGTGTCTTTCCAGTCAGTTACCTCAGCCTCAATGTCTGTCTGTGATACCGTGTCAGCCTCCCCTGATATAGCTCTATCATCATCTGATTTTTCTCTTGCTTTATCGGACTCCTGATATGGATGTCCAGCGTCTGGTGACGGGACTCCTGCATCCGGCTGAAATCCTGTCTCAGTGATTGATTTCTCTTCTTTCAGATATGATCGCCCTGTCTCAGCTGTTTCCTCCATCAATATATCCTGGGAGTCAAGTTGTTGTGTTGACAATTCATCGAAGTCTGCTGATTCTGACAGATTAACCAACATGTCGTATATGCCCTGAAATGACCCAGCACTAGTTGATTTCAGCAGCTGAGTTTCCCCCCCTTCACTGAGAGACTGGTCTGAAAATCCAGACTCTACTGTTGATGAAGACGTTTCTGTGTCACTCACTAATTCAGATTCCTTTAAATTTGACGCCACAAGCTGCCCTTTATCTTTCTCTGTCTGAACTGATGATATTTCATCTTGTTCCTCATTGGAAAGCTCAATTTGACGTCTGGCCTCTGGTTCGTCTTGTTGTTTTATGCCTTCCGTGTCCTTTGACAAAGCCGTTTGTATCCACAAATCAAGGATTTCTTCATCGATCACATCCTGACGTCCACTCGTTGAGCAGACTGTTTCTTCATCATAACTCCCTTCTGATTCTCTCACATGCTCAGCCATGTCTTCTGTTGACAACACACTCATATCTTTTGGTTTAGACTCAGCTGTCTTTGAGTCCCCGGCCTCTTGAGTCAACATCTCCTCCTTTGTTATCTGAAGTGCTTCATCTGATAGCTGATTTCTCACCTCCAATTCAGATTCTGCAATCCCCTCTACCTTCTGATGTAAAATCTCCAACTCACTATTGTTCTGCATTACATCTTCTTCGGCCTCTTGTTCGATTCCATAACCCATTTCTTCCACATCTATCCCTGCATCGTGCATTTCTACAAGTATTTTATGCCCAATATCTTCTGGCTGTTTTAAGAATTCAAAGTCAGTCACGTTATCTAAAAAACTAGGAGTCATGTTTTTGTTTTGCTTCGAGTTTCGGGCATCTACAGATTCCTGGAAGAAGCTTGTCTCTATTTCAGACTCGAGGACAGTTTCATCAGTGGACCAGACCACTTCCTCCGCTGGGACAGCTTCTCTCGCCTCACTGCCTACTTGATCAGATAATTTGTAATCAAATGACCCTTTTTCTAAGTCAAATTCAACCAAAAGATCTTCAGTCCCATCTTGTGTCTCTTCTGTCTTCTCGTCTGTTAAGCTGATGTGGGACTCAAGCTCCTTTTCTGAGTGTACGATCCTCGACTTCATTGAGACCAACAGTAATTCCTTTTCCTCTTCTTCAAAGAAATGTCCTGACTCTTGAATCGCTGCTTCGAGAAGTTGTTTCTCCGTATCTTCTGTTGGCCTGTCGTCAAAGCTGTTCTCAATGTCTCTCGTGCTTTCTTCTCCTTCTTCCCTTCGCTCCCTCTCCAGTAAATAGTCAGCTCCGGTGCTGGAGCCACTGTTTTGAAGGCTCTCTGACTCTTTGCCCTCCACCTCTTCTGGTAATTGGCTGCCAAGGATTTCCTCGCAATCCCCTTCTTCCAGGAACCTTTGTGTTGTGTTTTCATCTGGCTTATTGTTGAAGTCAGGAACTCCCTCTTGTGTTTCCTCACGTGTCTGAGAGCTTAGCTCCTGCGACACAACAAGCTGGCCTTCACATATCCTCAGAGGAATATCCTTACACTCTCCGCTCATTTCCTCTCCAGTCTCGCCTTCAGGTCTTACCGTAACTGAGGTGGTTGTACATGCTATTTCCATGTAACTTTCCTCGTGGACTACTTCACTGGAGAGCCTCTCCTCCTCTTCTTGACCTTTATCAAACTCTACTGAAAAGTGTGTTGTTGTGACATCAGAGTTTTCATCGACCACATGGCTTTCTGTCTCTTTTGTTTTGGTTTCAGTATCCTTCGCCTCATCCTCCTGTTCTCCATATGTGAATTCAGCTGCTTGTGGCTCTGTTTTATCATTCTGCTCATCTTCTTCGCTGCATGTAACACATTCAGCTAATATATCTGCTTCTTGGCGGTCTTCCGTATCTGTTTTGATGTTGTCTTCCTCCTCCGATGCTTCCTCTATTGTCTGGTTGTTTGTAGCCTCACTCACACTTTCTTCCTTGACATCCCCCTCATCCAATGTGCTCTTCTGCTCCTCCAACACCTCCAACACCTCCTCCTCCACCTCCTCCTCCTCCACCTCCACCTCCAACACCTCCTCCCCCTCCTCCACCTCCTCCTCCTCCTCCTCCTCAGCTTTATCACTTTCCCTTCTATCAGCCATAGCATGCTCTTGCTCCACGACATTAAGCTCTTCCTCAGGCAGGATGCCATCTTTATTTTGGTTTCTTTGGGGTTCAACATGAAGTGAAAAGAAGCCTGGGTCTTCCTTGAAATCTTTGTCATCGTCTGAGAACTCTTCACAGACTTGTTTTGCTCTCTCATTAAACTTGTTCTCATTTTCAGAGGCCAGCTGTGACGCACCATTTTTGTTTTCTACTTCCTCAGGCGTCGCCTCTCTATCTGCCTCATTCCTCTGTAGCTTAGCCTCCTCTACGTCCATTTTATCTAGACTGAAATCTGTGATCAAGTTTACCTCACCGTCTTCCACCTGCACATCTTCATCTCCATGCTCCTCTTCTTCCTGTTCTTGAATGGTCTCATGCATTTTTCGTCGATCCTCTGGTGTCATAGCCTTCTTATTTTGGTCATCACCAGTTTTTATTTCATTGTGCGCCATGTCTTCACTCATTGCATCACCTGTATGTCTTAATGACCGGGTGATTGCATCATCTTCATCCTCTCTATTCTCCGGCTTCTCATCTTGTCCATGAGTGTGCAATTTCTGATCTTCGTCTTTTTCTTGTCCGTCTTCTTTTGTGCCCTGCAGCCTTGCATTGTCATTTCCTTTTTGTTCTAATGGTTCCTCTCTCGTGCCCTGACCTTCTTCAGAGTCATTACTCTCGCTGCCTCTGCTGGACTGGGTTTTGTACCGCACGCTTTCTTCATCAGGCTTAAGGTCGATGTTTGTGGTGCAATGATCCCAGGCAACAAGTGGTCGGGATGAGCTTAACAGAGAGGCTGAGGGAAGAGACTGTTCCTCATCAACCCCGCTTTCAATATCTGTGTGACCAATGTGAGCGGACTCCCCGTCAACCTCAGGTTCATTGATGGAGTTTGGGTCGTTGTTGGAGATGTCAGCAGGGTCTGGCCTGAGGAATCTGTTCACAGCCCCAGTTATATAGTTCTGAGAACAACAAGGAGACAAAATAAGACACATTTTATGGATTATTTATGTTTTTGATGAATCCACACATGTTGTCCCCATTATGCATATCATGAACATTTGTTATTTGTAACCAAAATATGACCCCCCCTGTTTGAATACCTTCCTATGCATTTGGCCTAAGGCTGTGTTTCATGGTATGGGGTAACCCCTTTAGTTCTAGCTAAGGGACATCTTAATGTTACACTATACAAGGCTATTTAGTTTCCTTCCAGCTTTGCAGCTACGATTAGGGAAGGCCCTTTCCTGTTTCAACATAACAATGCCTCCATACACAAAGCAATGTCTATAAATGGTTATCTGAGTTTGGTGTTAAGATCTCCCCCGGCCTGCAAAAACCTCAACCTCACATTGCACCTCGGAAACATTAGCACTTATGTGGTGTAATCTCTCAAGAGAACTGATGAATGTGAGTTTCCCTTTAGCTCTCATTTGCTTTTCTCACTAAACTGAACTCCTCTTTAACCGTCTCTATGGTAACTAAATGCTGCAGTACTTCAGCTGCTCTTTGCTAATGTTGTCTGCGGTTTAGTGCAGGCCTTATCAACCAAAACAACAGGTCACTAATCCTCTAGTGGCTGAATGAGGGAAGTAAAGTAATGTTTTATTTTACAGGTCCATTCATTCCTAATTATTTCCCTGGAAAAAAACTCTTTTTAAATCAATGTACAGCAGATCAGCTGATGACGCAAAATATGGGTGACAAGCAACTATTCAAATCAATATATATACAAAATTCAGTTTGCAATCATTTGGGATTGCAGCTGCTTATATGCCCTGAAATTGGTAGCGAACTCTTCTCTCCATTCACGTTGTGTGAAAGTGTCAGAAAAATTATAAAAAGAATTAAGAGACTTGTAAATAAATAAATAAAGCTTGTGGAGAGCACATTAGGGTTATAATGTTTGGGTGTCCAAATTTGGATCTGTTGTGTACATCATACTCGGGTTTACATTTAACGCCTCGTATGACCCACACAGGAGAGAGAGAGAGAGAGAGAGAGAGAGATTTTTAATTATGCTTTCATACTTGTTCTTCACTATTTATATTACATTAGTTTGATGTGTTTTTCATCCATAATGTGAAGGATGGAATTTCATTTTATTTTTTCATTGTGTAAGTGAATAAGTGTGAGTGAACTTTTATTTATACAACATATTATTTTCACTATCATCATTTTGATTTGGTTGATAATGCCCATACTGCTTCTTTCCTTGACTTTTCATTGTACAATATTGTTTAATATTTTACTGTTGTATCATGTTTCTGATACATGATCATGCCAATAAAGTTTGAATTTTAGTAAGAGGGAGAGAGAGAGAGGGTGAGGGGTAGAGAGAGACGTTCACGGACACAGGAAGAGAGAGACTTTGCCAACACATTTCACTTCTCCTGACATTAAAATGTAAGCACATCACAAATCCCACGTTTGAGATTTAGAAGATGCAGCAGCTCACCCAGACTGTCCAGAGAGTCCTTTCCACCCTGGCGATGGGACTGTCTTCGTTGTCCATCTTTCAAACTTCCTCCTCGTTTCAGTCTCTGAAGATCTGACTCAGTTTCCTCTGGATGTGACCGCTATGGAGGTTTAATTTCCCTAAAACACGACAGCTGACTCCATCGAACTCCTCCGCTGATAGCTCAGTTCCGTTTACAGACATACGTCCGGGGTATCATTATTATGAGGAAGAGGAGATCAACACAGCTGAGAGTCGCCACTGCACTAAATGCTGCAGAGTTTACGGATGTGCAAAGAGACTCCAATAATGAGTCATGCAAGTGTGCACGTGAGACACGGAGGATTTCTTCAATATAGCTGTGCTCACCAACAGCAGGGGTTAATGTTGATCTCAGTTACAATCATGGTAGAAAAACACAGGAACTCATGAGAAGCTATGGCTGTAGCCTAGCCAATTAGGACCAATTTCCCTTAACAAACAAATCTTAATCTTTGCTAACATCCGTTGATATTACATTCCTTAGATTTAACAACTGTAGCCTTTAGATGTGCTCAAAGCAGTCTGACACATTTCAACATGAAATAACTTTCTTTAACAAAAAAAAAGTTTAATGCATAAGAATGTAAACAACTTTTATTATTTTAGGTTTTGCTGCCAACTACTTACTTAGCAGCTCATGGTGGCTGAAGTTAACTTAATTTCGGTTTACGGATGTTGGGTAATATGTGGGAATAGTTGAATCAGGCGTTTTATAGATCCAGATCTGGTTGATGTTTGATATAAGAATGACCAGGTATGTCTGTTGATCCATTTTTAAAACTTTCCATTGTGGGTCTATGATGTCACAGGGGTGCATTACTCAACGGTTTTTCACAAGCTGCCCACCCTTCAAGCATTTATGATTATTGCCACGTGTTGCAACTCTTCTGCAAAAGGCTTACTCCTCTTAGTTACTTTACATTTCAATTTATTTAATAATCTCTCCCTGTGACATCAATAAATCATAATTGTTGAGTTTTATTTGGCCTTTATTTGTTTTAGAATGTCATGGATATCTTATTTTGTACTATAACTGTCTGTTCATGACAACAAGATGGCTTTTTATTGGTCATGTAGCATATGTATTTAGAAGAAAGAAAAACATGACACTTTACTATTTCTGGAAGTTGCTAGAATTTACAGGACACAAAATGCAAACACGTATTCAATATACCAAGAATAAAAACTTCGATTTTGTGAAATGTATGTTTCCACTTATCGACAACCGTAAACGTATTTGATATTCCGAGAAGAGGAAGTTCTAAACTAAACAATATCTAAATACTCGGGTCAACCACGCAGTACCTCCTCTGCTCGCAGTGAAGTGACAGTCCTGTGGTCGGAGTGCAACAGAAAAAATACAGAAGTGTATTTTTAAAATGAGAAGTCATTTCATTGGTTGAACAACAACAGAGAGCACTATAGTATCTCTGCCTGTTGAATCTTTTCATACAAAAACAAAAAGCCAAGGAAACATTTCTTCTAGAAATTGTTTTATTTTTCTATGCAGATTTATAAACTAAATCCACAGAAATTGATTATTCTTGTAAAATACTTTGTACAAAAATATGAACATTTAAAAAAATCATGAAGATGTAGAAAAAACAAGTAATGGATGACTGATTAAGACTATACAAAACTAATAAATAAAAACCAAAAATGCTTGATCAAAACCACCTCATCAGACAGTTGGATATCATAAAACTTGATTACTACCTTACTAAAGTTCTATATTAGATATATTATGCATTATAAAATAGAGAGGCACTTATAAGAGGTTTCATGCGGAAGATGACATTTCCTCATTGGGCTCTGAAAAAAGAGAAGACACAAGATTTAAAGTTTAAAAAAAGACCATGTACAAACTTCCTGTTACATTAAAATCACGATTGGCTCATTTAGATTTCCTGCTTTGTGTTTTTGTTAAATGTTGAAGTCTCTATGGTGTGCATGTACATTTAAATGTGTTTTTTGCAGTGTTTTACCTGTCCAGGTTCGATAAACAGGAAGCTTGAGTGCAGGGTGTGTGATCTCCAGGCTGACTCTCAAACGTGCCCTCTCATTTTCTCTGGGAGTCTTGCTCACGCTGACCCTGTTGATGTGCAGCGCTCCCGGGTCTTCCTCCATTTCTTTGTCACTGTCCTCGTCCACCTCTGACTGTGTGTCCTCGTCCCTGTCTATGTTGTTGTTCTCTACATCCACTTTTTCATCAATGTACTCTATTCCTTCAGCGTCAGGGTCTGTGACGGCAGCTTTAGTTTCTGTAAACAGTAAAACAAGATTATAGACGAAAATAGCCAGCATTCCGATGGAAATAGTACATTGCTTTACATTTTGTATTACTGCTTAATCACGAAACTTTAATGAATTATGCAATCTTTGTTTTAACTATCAATTTTGTTTTTTAAGTATGACTTCTGATATCTCAAAAAGGAGATTTATAATCCATTCAGTCTACAAACCTCTCTTGCACAATGTTTTAAACTTTTCTGTTTAATTATTACTGCCTTTTTTTGCAACTACTCAACGCTTTACCACCAGTAGACACTTAAATAGAAATTGTGACACTTGTACAGAAAGATCAATAAAAGTAAGGTAAAAAGTCAACAACAGTGGGTGGACTATGCATCGGGGACAGCTTTTTACATTAGATCTTCTAAAAAAATTATCTTTAAACCCCAATCCACAACTTTGTAGAATAGCCCACTATTAAAACTGGCATACTTTCCCCAGGCTTCTCAATATTCTCAAAAGCCACAAAAGACAACTGTTTTGACAGAATTGATGGACCCCTTATGTAGAGTAAACTCATTTTGATTTATAAGATTGTTGTATAACACATTTTTGATGAACTGCATTGGCAAGTTTGGGCAAGTAGAGCAAATGGCACCAGAGAAAAGGAATTCTGAATAAATTCTTTATATATGTTAAAAAGAGTAATGACACGTACTTAGTGCATGTCCATTCCTCCTTCTCTCAGGCTGTTTGTTCATCTGAATGGCCAGGCTTGTGGACCTCTCCAGGGCACACACACTTTTCATCTCCCTCTGTCCGTCGTCTCCTATCTCCTCTGTCTCGTTGGAAACCAGCGGTGAAAGAGTGGATCCTCCCGCCGCCCAGAGTAACTTGACCTTAGGGTGACCTCCCTTCAACAGCAGAGAGAACACCCCGACCCCTTCACTGCTCCAACAGACCGAGATCGCTGGAGGAATGGCGGGAGCGACTGAGGGAATGCAAACATAGGTGGAAGTGAATGAGAGAGAATAAAAGCAGGTGTTATTCTTTTCTTCTTTCTCCATACAACATCGAAGGTTGTTGACATTACAAGTGCCTATAATGATCCATACCAATGTCAACATTGCTCCAGAGTTTCTCAATAGGCTCTTGTAGGGAACAGTGCTCCACTCTACAAATAATCCCTCCTTGTCTCTTCTTTTTGTCCTGATTTGTTGCCGTTCTCTTCAGAGTGGCTGTGGCCCTGTAGAGTCTCGGTTGAGTCTGAACGGGGCCCCACATCTCTTCTCCCTCTATCACCTCCTCCTCTCTGTCATCCTGCTCTCCCTCCCTGAGCTTCAGCCAGGTGACTGATACGTTCGGGGGGTAGAAATCTGTGATCTCACATCCAAGGGTCTGCTCTGGGGAAGATGTGGAGCCAACGATTTCAGACACATACGGCCTTTTCATGAAGCCTGGAGATAAAGTGGAGATGTAAGATTATTATTATTTTTTTTTATTGTTTAATTGTGTCACTTTTCCTGTTTCTTACCCCTGGTCTCACGGGTGACTGGTTGCTTCAGGGCGATGTGGTGGACACTGACCCACACTTTAGTGCCTCCCTTTTCCAGTTCACTCTGGGGCAGTTTACACTGGCTGGAGGCTGAGAAGAAGCCTTCTGAATTGGGTTGAGGGGAGGACGAAGCCTGGGATGCCACGGGTCTCAGCTCACTCCCCTGGCAGAACCAGCGGAAGGTGATGACGTCCGGATGGAAATGTGAAGCCCTTACCGTCATACTGATGACATCTGGAAGACAGAAGTTACAGGGATGTATCTTCTCACAACCAGGAATATTTTACACATAGCCTATTGAACAACAGCAGAAGGATAAACTTTACCAGAGTCATTTGGTGTCTCTGCAAGCTGGATTTCTGAAACCTCTGGGGCAGCTAAAAGACAAAGTTTTCCAAAAACATCCATAAATGGTGGACATTATAGAAAATCAGAGACAAAATGAATAAAAGAAAGTGTTTTCTTACACAGGATTGTAAACTTCTCTGACACCCTCTCCACCACGATCTTGTCTTTGCCCATGTAGGACACCTGACACTTCAAAACGGCACCCTTGTGGATGGAAATTTGGGGGATGAAGGTGAGCGAGGAGATCAGCTGTTGAGTATCACTTCCAGATGAGTGCAGGGGTCCCTGAGTGTGCAGCTTGTAGTAGCCCATCTCTCCTCTGGGGGACAGAAGAGGGCCTTTCTCTGAGGCTGTGGACGTGAGAGTTAGACCGTAGGGCAGATGGATGGTGGTTAGCGGGTTATAGAGGCAGTTAAAGTTAGCTTTGGAGGTTCCTATGTGTGTAATATGGTCAATTGTTAGCAGAATTATGTGTAAAAGAGAAAACAAAGCATGTTTTAAAAGAAGTTGCCACTCAAATAAAATATATTTTGTGTGGCATCATTCACTTTAATGTAATATTTTGACATAAACACATTTACATTTTGCAAGAGGCTTGAGGTGCTCATAGCAGGAAACAATAGATTTTAAAAACTCAACAGCAATATCTCTTTTCAGAAATCATGACCTTATACTCAAGATAATCAACAGACTTTATTGAGAGTAGTTTCGTTTATGAAGTATTTTCTCTTATAGACCTACTGTATCACAGCACAATAGAAAGTGTGCATCTCTTCATGGCAAATGGGCTTCCCTGAATTAGCAGGAAAACTAGAACTAACTTTACTGCTTAACGGAAGAGGATGCCACACCTTGTACAGTCAGGGCCTAACATCCATGAGTAAATGCATACTTCCTGCTATCTCCAACACTCTATAACTCAAACCATAAGATTGATAAACAGCACTAGAGGTGAGATTTCGTTTTTTTATTCGATTTTTTAGATTTTGTGGTCACTTTAAAGGAGTTAGCTTAGCATAAATACTGGGTACAGAGAGAACCAGCTGGCTGTCTCCAAAGATTAAAAAGATAACCCCCTAGACAGGTTTTATCTGTTTGTTTAATCTGTACAAAACACATGTGAAATATGTGTCTGCTGGATGACCTCATAGGAATTCCAATTCAAGAT